CCAATAAAATATAAATATAAAATTAACCAATAAAATATAATAAAATATCATCCAATTAAATTTATGATATGAATTAATCAATAAAATAAGAACTAAATATTCATATCATAACAATATGTATTATATATTTTTTTATTATACTTATATATAAAGAAATGTGATAAGAAATTTGATCATAATAGTAACTTTGCAATTAAAGTGAAAAATTATTAAATACTAACTAAGAATTAAGAGAAATATGACAAAAAATAAGTTCAATTTCTTTACTTGTTTAAGTTAAGATATATGTTATATTTATAAATAAATTATAAAATTCAAACTTTCAATAGAGTTATAGTTTGAATTAAAGTTTGAATCAAAATTCAAATTGAAATTCAAACTAAAATTCAAACTGAAATTCAGTGAAATTCAAATTGAATTTCTAATTGAAATTTGAATAAAAATTTGAATTTTAAACACTAATTAAAAATATGATTATTCAATAAAATTATTTGAATATTAATATAGTAAAATATAAACAAATATAAAATAAATATAAGAAATATCAAATCATAATAATATCAAAATATTAATATATTTATTATACTAATTAATTATAATAATTAAAAATAAATAATAATAAAAATAATACATATTAAAATTAATTAATAATATAATAAATATTAAATAATTAATAAGAATATAATATAATATTAGTCAATAAAATTATGAATAATAAAATATATTATAATACTATTAATAAATATTTAAAAAAGTATACAAAATTTATAATAAAATTTAATAAATATAAAAATGAAAATACTTTAAAACTATAAATTAATATATAATACTATATGCTAATTTCAAATTAAACTTGAATCAAATTCAAACTTGTACAACAATTTAATTCAAATTTCAAATCTTTTTTGAATTTAAATCAAAATTTAATTTAAATTTGATTCAAATTTTGAATCAAACTTGAATTTAGATAAAAGTTAATTTAGTTTAATTTATAGAAATACTAATTTTTACTAATATTATATACAATAAAATCAAAATATATAATTATATAAATGTTTATTATAATAAAAATATAATATAACTTATTTAATTTTATATAAATTTTGCTTTATAATTATTGAAATTTTTTAATTCGAGATATAATATTATTATAAATTATATAAAAATATTAAAATCTAGATATTATAATAATTATAAGTATATAACAAGCTAAAAAATTCATAATTATATATAATTAATATAAAAAACTCACATAATTAATAATAAATAAAAAAATTATATTCTATTTTAAATAATTTTTATAATTATCTTATTATAAGAAATATAATCTAAAATAATATTTTATAATTATTATTATTAAAAAAAGTTTTACAAATTCCAAATTAGTCTATTAGTTTAATAACAAATAAAATAGTAATTATACTTTTGTTATAAAAATAAATAAGAATAATAAGTTTCAATTTCTTTATATTAAATATTAATTAAATTAAAAAATAGTATTGGATATATTCAATATTATTTCATTTATAAATTTTTAGTTTATTGAATAAAATAATCAAAAATAATTAAAATATTATATCAAACTAGTTAATTAACTATTCAAAAATTATTTATTTAAAATATATAAAAATAATTATATAATATAATATAAAACTAATTAAACAGAAAAAAATAAAATAAATAAATAATAATAATTATATAAGATTCAGTATTGTAACTGAAAGTTACTGAAAGTTCATCAAAAAGTCACTGAAAGTCAAATTAATATTGACTAAAATATTACTGGAAGATTTTAGTTATTTAAAAATCTATTAAAAATATAAACCATTTATTAATAGGTTATCTTTATATTATATTATATAAATTTATCTAGTTAATTTCAATGAATTTTTAATTTTGATTCTCACTGAAATATTCCAGTGGCAACACTAATATAAGATATTTATTATAATAATTGTTTAATATAAAAATAATTTGATTTAATATAAATAATTTAAAATTAATTTCACTTTTTCAAAAATCAACTATAATAAAATTATTTCTTATTATTTTTGTTACAAAATTATAAATATAATTATAAAAAAATAATTTAATGCTTAAAAAAATCCAAAAGTTATTTTTTTAAGTTTATATTTTAGTTGTATATTCACAAGTTTGAATATTTATTATGTGAAAACTATTTTATTAAATTGATCAAGAAATGTTAGATTGATTATGTAATACACGTGATTGGTAGTACTAAAATAATTTTTTTATTAGATATAATTTCGGTGAATTAAGTGTATCACGTACTTTTCAGTTTTACACTTTAACTATATAGTTAATGTATAACTCGTAATCTAAAAGAAATGGGGGATAGCAAAGCAAACATTGATAATAAAAAGGAAAATGATGACGTTACCATTGATCCGGTGATATGTTATAATCTTAGTTATTTTAAAGGTGCATCTTTGACTTTTACGCTTTATATTTCCTTTCTCCTTTCTATCATCTCTGATTTTTTTAAATTTATAGATCTAATGAAAGAATATAGAAAATTAGATGATAACATAATGCTACGATTAAATTCCACGGATACGCATTCACAAGCTGCTTGTGGTGCGTTCTTTCAACAATTAGCAAAGGCGTAGATATTCATTATTTATCATCGTTATTCCTGTTCATTTTTATACATTTTTTATTCATCAATTCATTTTATAGGTATACGAAACGGGAGAAAGTCATAACGTTTTGTTTGAAGGTGTTTATTGATTGAATGTGTGATTGATTTATTAATTTATGCTATTTGTGTGCATTGATAGTTAGTGTATGCTCGATTTTTGGGATAATGCTGGGAAACATTTAATGGCATTGATCATGCTTTTCTTTTTCTAAATGATTCATTTTAATCAGATTATGGACGAAGAATTAACACAAAAACAGAAAAAATACGAAGATGATCCGTTTGATAGAAACTTAAAGAATGAAATGTTTGTCACAGAATCAAAGGTAAGAAAGATCTTTATCCCTTCTTTATTTTTATATACATACATACATACATATTATGTTATATCGTACGTTCAAAATGACAATGTAGAGACGAATGATTACAAACGAAGTAACAGTAGAGGATATTGTTCGCGAACGAAGTATCAATTTATTCAAGAATAAATGTCGGATTTTTCGTATACCACCTGATTTTCGAGAGTTTATTAGCAAGCAGTAGTAGATAGTAATAATAAATTTTTGGTAGTGTAAATTAGATCCATGCATGCACAGATGCCTATGCATCGAGGAGTAACTTTACAATTTTGGTTAGAGAGGAATAAAAGAGCTTGCCGGACGGGCAATTTTGCCTTACAAATAATAGAATGACTCATTCGAAATAAAGTAAAATTGGGAAGGAAGGAAGGAAATGACACGTATAATTTCGTCAAACCCACTACTTGGACTCTCCAGCAAACAAAAGGTGGCGTCGTTTTCCTGGCTTAATCTTAGAAATCTTCTTGGTAAAAATAATGCAAATAAAGCAGAAATAAAAAGCATATCAAATACAGCTACAAATAGAACAGCAACATCGATAATAGACGATAAAAAGGAAACATCACCTGTTAAATTTGCCGAAAACGATAAAGAAACATCTGTTGAATTTGCTGAACCATCACATGAAAACGAAAAAGAAATCAAAGATCAAAAAGCTAAAAAACGAACATTTCACAAATGGACGACAAGAGACCAAGAAAAACTCGAACAAGCAATGAAAATTTACGGTAAAGATTGGGAGAAAATTTCAAAGCATTATTTTGACTCGAAACGGTCACCACCATCAATCTACGAAAAATACTGCAAGAACCTCAAAGAGTCTAAAGCTGTAAATTCAAAATATATGAAATGGACATCCGAAGAGGATCGAACATTAGAGAAAGCTGTAGCAACACTTGGCGAAGGCAATTGGCAAGAAATTGCAAAAGAATTTCTACCCAGTAAAAGTGGGCCACAAATTTTAAATCGATGGAAAATAATCTCGTCAAAAAAACGGGGTAATTGGACACCAGAAGAAGATAAAGCGTTACGAGAGTTTGTCAAAACGCATGGGTTCAAGTGGAGTTTGGCGTCTGAGGTTTTCAAACGTCCTCATGTTCGTATTTTTGAACGATGGGATCGATATGTGGCACCTGGTCTAAAGAGTGGTCCATGGTCAAAAGAAGAACTGGAAATATTAAAGGATGCTGTAGAAAAATTTGGCACAGATTGGGATCAAATTAAAAAAGCTTTACCTCATAGATCTCTTTATTTTATTAAACAAAAGTATCGAAATTCTCCCTCCGTTCGAACAGAATTCAATAAGGGACCCTGGAGTCTAAATGAAGAGTTGACTCTTGTCGAAGCTGTAAACAAATATGGAAGACGATGGAATGACGTGTCAAATATGATTGGCACTAGAAGTCCTGATCAATGTTGTTGTTATTATTCTAAAACGAAATTGTGAAATTCTTCTTTTATTCTATATTTTAACGTGCTATAGATTTTAGTATGAATTAATCACATTTTCCCTTTCTCGAACATATTAAATTTAGTCTTTTCCCTTTTCTCGAACATATTAAATTTAGTCTTTTCCCTTTTCTCGAACTTATATTCCACAAAACATATCAATGGAAAATAAATAAATGGGAAGCAGAGGAGGGAGGGGATCCAATCAAAGTGTCATTGATGTGGACATTAGCTCTCATTGGAAATACAATTCGTATGTAAGTTTGGGGAAGACGCTACAATTGTTATCTCTTATTTAATTTAAACGTGTTAGTTGCTTGCTTATAACTCTGTATATATTCCAATTAATTAGAGAGGAAATTTTCATATCATGTCTCTTTTTTGTTTAATGAAAATACAATATTTACATTATAACATGTGCAAAGGTTAATGAAGCGAACTGGGTTCTTAAACGCGACTAAGGAACGCGCGTTTTTTAGAATTTATTACATAATTCATAATATTGTACTTCCGAAGATCACATCGTTTCTTTTCCCGATCGGACATCGATATTAATTAAACGGATTATGGTGAAAATTTTGGCCAAAATTGTGCAGATCATGGGATCATTTGGCCAGAATCATCGACAATTTCTTATAATAAAAGAGCAATAATGTTTATATTGCTAAATTTATTGTTATTTATAGCTTATTATAATAGAGATTGCAAATTTTCATCATGATCCCTCCCCCACAATATATAAAGTGTGGGAAATCGTTCTAAAATCCCTGGTTGTTTGCGTATTGTTATTTTTTTTGTTCTCATAAAAATATACCATTACTTATTATTATTATTACGATTATTACTCGCGATCTTTTATTATCAACGAAACATTACCGTGTCTATAGATAAATTCAATGACGCCCACAGCTTTCGCGTACAAGAATGAATATTCACATTCTTCTCAATACGAAATTTCCAACCAATTACCACCTGCACCAATACAGCCAATATTTAGACCTTCTTTTGAAGCGAACGATAAACAAGTTGCTACTATTTACCAAAATTGGGTACGTACGAATTTCCAACCATCAACGTTTAACATTTCATCATCATCATCATCATCATCATCATCATCATCATCACCAACTATCAGCACATATACGCAAGGATTAAATGACTCAATTCCGCCGCCAGAAGCAATGTTCCATGATTTTCTAGAGGTTGATTATTCTAAATTCTACGATTCTTCTCTTGAATTTGATCCTCATCCAACAGAATCAACAGATATTTTCTCATCACAAGAATTAGATGATTTATTCACGTCGCTGACAAAAGTAGCGGCCGGATGTGGAACAAGTGATTGTGGTGACGATGCATTGGGAAGAGAGTTTCAAGATGATGGAATTTGCGAGCTATTGTTGGATGTAAATAAAAGAAAAGAGATGGAAAATGTGGATAAATTGGCGGATGCTTTTGATTCTTTCACGATAGTTTAATGGTTAATGGACTTTTTATTATTAGAACGACCCTTTACTTGGAGTAAATATAGAATTTATAGCAATGTATCTGCAAACAACAACAATTTCATGCCGGACATGGTTACGATTATATTAACGGTAAATGATAAAAGAATTTATAGGTAATATTAGTAATGATAGTAATGTATGAATGCCCTTTTGATTTTAATAAAGTAATGGTTTGAATTTTTTGGTAGCAGTAAAGACGAAAACATCTTCTGTATCTACTACCGCTTAACGGAGTGGTTTTCGTTATCTGCGATATCGATAACATATACATGTAGTTTGCTACTCTCTAATAACGATTACCATGTGAAATTCAATAACAACATATAGCAGCGGGGGAAATACAACTCTTTGCTGTAATTGACATTTAAAATGTTTAATTGAATTTGTAAATTTAAATATCAATCACTAATAACGTTCAGATCGAAACTAGTTTGATCTCATACGCCAAACCAGATTTGGAATCCAATCTATAAAGTGTGCATGCGCCTGTTTCATACAAAAAAAAGTGTTAAACTACTTGACGTTAATAATGAATTCGGGATCAATTGATTGCCATCGGGCATTATAACTATTTTACCATTTATGACTGTGTATGGACTAATATGCATGTAATCCCAGACACAATACCCCACTCACCAAATATTACCAAAAGGTGAAACTACGCGCTAAAAAAAAAAACAAATTTGTCCGTTCGCTAGCTCTCTTTCGTAAACACCATTATCATTGTTTGTCATTAACTGGTTATCCATGTGAAATTTTCAAAGGGTAAAGTACATCATGCATTAAAAGAGAGAGAAATTTGGTGATATCTATGCATTAAAATAGACATCTGGTGATACTTATGCAGTAAGAGACATTGTGCATTAAAAGAGAGAGGAATTTGGTGATATCTACGATTCTCTTACGAGGAATATATAGAATTTTAATTTTCGGATCAAAAGGATTGATGAAAACGATCTAATTCACGAATTCGAGATGAAGATTTTTTTATTCCCACGTCCCGGCTAAAAATCAATCCTTGCACAAAACAAAAACAAAAATACAGTAAATTCAACGCGATCAAAAAATTCAAGATTTATGTGTGGTATCGTTAGATCGGGGCAATACGGGTAACCTGAACAGTAAACTCCCGCAATAGTCACATCATCGAGTGTGACTAATATGGAAGGACCATAAAAATTGCCTATTTCATAAATAGAATAGCATGTACGTACTACATGTATAACTAAAATTTTGTTTAGAGGTCGGAGACTCATTGGTTTCGGACCTGGTCATAGGTCCGATTTGCTTAACTAATCAGGAAATTCATTTATCAAACTATAATTCTAAGGTTACACATATTGTGACGTGACTATAGCGGGAAATTTTTATAGGGGAATATCCTTATGTCAAGCAAAAACGACATCCGATCCGGAAATACTATATTTTAACACTATAAGATTGGGGTTAGGGTTAGAGTGGAGAACAAAATTATATATAAAATTACCTCACCAACATTTTTTATTAGTATATCAAGCTAGATTTGTTTCAATTTTGCTCTCTTATTGGTTCTATTGGTTGACGATCAGAGAGTACCGATCTTCAAATACCGGAATGCCCCGTTTTTTGGGTCATGATATAATAATATGTGATTATTGCGGGCAAAAATTACTAGTAGAAACTTATACAATTGACCATTGAACGTGTCCCATTTTTACAGCTAATCGAGATTAAGAAAAGTGCGTGGATACCCGCCAAATTTCTTTCATACAATTTTATTCACAGAAATATTAGATAATCTGCACACAAATAGTTACATACATGCACGTTCGTTACACGCACGCATTCATACATGCAAGATAAGCTTTTTCACGGTTTCTGCCTTGTCTTTGGGCTTAGACTCACTTTATCAGTTATCTTTTTTTCCCCGTAAGCCACGCTACTTCATTAATCCCAATTCACGATGTCAGTATTTCTAATGAATAAACGTAAAATTCATTATATCTTTGTATCTAACTCCTCCAACTTGTTTCATTTTTAATTAATCAGGTTCAATCTCTCAAGTGGGGAATCAAATTCTAATATTTGTTTATTTATATTCTCTTGGCGTCAAAAAAATTTTTCATCTGGTTTTGACACTGGCTTTTCGTCAAACCATGTGGGTAGAAACTTTTCTTTTTGAGAAATAGAATTTCTTGAATGGAATTGGATTCGAATTCGAATGACAAAACAAAACATACATGTATATTTATTAAACCTCCTTACAATCAAGTTGTACAAGGATGGGGGACAGGAACTATATCAAATATGTATATACATGTACATTTTTTCAGATTAAGGGATTAGAGTTTTCTCGGCTTCTAATTCTTAAGCCGAGCCTTATTTTCTTTTTTTAGTTTCTGACCGATATGGCAACAACAACAACAATCCTCTCCTTTCGGATTTTGTCGTATTTTATTAAGAGGCTTTGAACACAATATATATATTAATAATGTATAAATTCTTTTTGTACGTTCCGGAATTTCTTTATTTCGCTCTATTATTGATTTTCGATTGATTATGTGCATAACTTTAAACTCCCCAACGGGGAAAAAGCCACATGTACATGTACAGCACATACATATATCATATATATCACATAGATTGTCAGATTTCACGATAGATTGACAACGAATATATAAATAAGCCCAGGAACAAACTTTGATTCTTCGTTAAGCATTTCAAACATTTTTTTTTTCAACTCTTTTTACCCACAATTTTTCTTGGTTTCTTTTTTTTAATTTAGTTATTCGTTTCGTTACTATTTTAATTAATTTTAACACGTAACAGATTTATTAACAAACACTTTCTTTCTTGTGTTTTTTTTATTAAATCTCATTTCCTTCAAGTTTTATAAATTAGTGTTTTGGTCTTATTCACTTAACGACTACACTTAAAATACAAAACTACGGTTTTCCTATTATTACTAGTAATATTAACTATCTAACGACTTATCAATATTCATAATCCTTATTTACGACAACAACAACTCCTCTCATCATCACATCTCTTACGAACAAAAAAATAATATCAACAAGATGGCTTTTGTCAACAAATCAAATTCTGAAACTCTCAAGAAATATCTCTCGCTCGATCAAAAGGGAAAAATCCAGGCCGAGTACATCTGGATTGATGGCGATGGTGGTATTCGTGGAAAGACTACCACTCTGGATAAGTATCCTGCGCATGCGAGTGATTTGAAGGAATGGAATTTTGACGGCTCCTCTACCAATCAAGCTCCCGGTGATAATTCCGATGTCTTGCTTCGTCCGGTTGCCTTCTTCAAGGATCCATTCCGTGGTGGAGATAATATCATCGTGTTATGCGAATGTTGGAATAATGACGGTACCCCTAATAGGACAAATTACCGGTACAGTTGTGCTAAAGTGATGTCTACTTTTGTTGACCATCATCCTTGGTTCGGCATTGAACAAGAATACACACTATTCGATACTGATGGACAAGTACTCGGTTGGCCTAAAGGTGGTTATCCTGGTCCACAAGGACCCTACTATTGCTCTGTAGGTGCGAGTAACGCTTTCGGACGTGACATCGTCGAGGCGCATTATCGTGCTTGTCTTTACTCCGGTATAACAATATCTGGTGTTAATGCGGAAGTTATGCCTGGTAAATAATTGATCGATCATTATCTTGCATCACTTGTATGTATTTATAATTGGTAGTGACTAACCTTTCTTTTTTGTGCAATGATCAGGGCAATGGGAGTTCCAAGTTGGACCATGTGAAGGTATTAATATGGGTGATCATCTATGGGTCGCAAGATATCTACTACATCGAGTGGCGGAAGACTTTGGAGTGGTTGTCTCGTTCCATCCAAAACCAATACCAGGCGATTGGAACGGTGCCGGTTGTCATACAAATTATTCCACACAAGCAATGCGTGAAGAAGGAGGTATAAAGGCAATTCATGAAGCAATCGAAAAGATGGCGGAAAAACATGCGGATCATATCGCTGTATACGGAGAAGATAATGATAAACGGCTGACGGGTCGTCATGAAACGGGTCACATAACACAGTTCTCGTCCGGTGTCGCAAATCGAGGCGCATCAATTCGAATTCCAAGACATGTAGCCGCGGAAGGTAAAGGCTATCTGGAAGATCGTCGGCCAGCATCCAACATTGATCCATATCGTGTCACAGAAATCGTAGTCAATTCAACACTTGCATAATAATAATCTTGAGTGGAAAAGAATTTTTTTAATGAACATTGAATTTTATCTTGATATGCACTTTATCATCATTACCATTACCATTTTTATTCTTTCTCCACTCATAAATCATCAAAAATGCTTAACCACTCGCACGAACTCTTACTTTGATGACTTATTACCGATAAATCCCTTTTTTTAATGGTTTTATATGTTAAATTACTACGATTTCTTTTTCCCATTTATAATAATAGTACATAATATTTCTTTAATTAATATTCTTAATTTTCTGCTATTATCTAATAATACGATCAATGTCTGGAAGAGGCCGTTTGGGCCCGGACAGACTTTTTAATGAACAATTTCCATCGCTTAAAGAAAAAACTTGGGAATGAGTTTTGACCTCCGGGTCGACTTTTTTTCTTTTTTTTTTTTTTTGGAAAACAAATCCACACTTTCCATTTACTTTATCTTTTTACTCGATTGATTGTATTCGTGTTGACGGGATGGTGAAAGGACATTACACTTTTTAGAGAAAACTTTTTAACTTGATAATACCATGTGTAGGTGATTTTATCACTTTTTAATATTCGTGTCTTGGATGCTCACACCTCTACTCGACACACATTTCAACCCTACACATTCTTGCGAGTTAATCAACATTCGCTAAAAGATCTCTAATTTGATCTCTTAAGTGATGATCTTCCATTATATAATTTGTCATCAATCATCATTCCACATTTCATATAATACAATCAGAAAACAAACGAGTGACCTTTTTTTGTTCCTCCTTCTCTTTCCTTGTTCTTTACCCAAGAAAACACATCTTAAGAAAAACACTATTACGAAAAAATTGTTGTAAATAACGGGGAAAATCAAATCCGAAAACCCCATCCATGTCTCTATGTCTAAAGTTTTCGTAAATACTTAAAAACAAAAGCGTTGTATATATGTTATATATACATACGCAACCTCTAAGTTTTTTTAATTGTAAATATTTTTATAAATATAATCAACACACGCACACACAATTACGCGATTTTTTCTATAGTAAATAATTTTTCCTTTTTTCTAATTTTCGATTAAGTGGTAGCTAATTCGGAAATTTTTTCCGAGGGCTTTGGGTTTAATGGATTAGCCGCCGATTTATTTGGCATCATGGATCTAATCCACTCGAAGATCGAAAATATATATATATTCAACATTTTCGAATCTCTTGAACGAATCCACCCAAATCATCATCGTTTATATCATCATTTATTACTCTCAAATATCCTTACTCACAAAGTAACCCAAAAACCACCAAACCCTTAATCTGTACATATTTGTACATTTTTCTCATCGTTTGTACTTCAAACGTACGTACGAACAAACTTTTTCCTCCTAATTCCTTAAAAAATTTTAATCCATAAAAAAACAAAAAATTTCAGCCAAAGTTGTTTATGCCAATTATAGTAATTATTTTTACGCGTTTAACTTTTTACACTTAAGAAGATTTGTGTTGAAATATTCACCCAAGTCTAATTATATATTTTTAATATAAGGATAATAACACTTTGGCTTTCTATGTATATAATAATTTTTAAAATTGGATTTTTTTTGGAGGAGGAAATTCACATTTTTGGGTTCTTTGAGATTTTTTGGTGGTTGACGGATGAAATCAATTGGGTGGAATCTATTCGTTTTTTTTTCGGGAATTATACTAATACTAATAGTATTTGGTATATTTAGTTTCCCAAATCCATATAATAACCCTTTCGGTATTTTATCTTCATTAACATCTACCCTTCTCGGTTACTACCACTAATCGAAACATAAACCAATCAAATTACGTCGAGCAATAACACAAATTTATAAAAACACAAAAAAATTGCTTCTTTACAGTTTTTTCGAATAGTGTTTTTTTTTTTCAATAAGGATTAAAGTGTTTTAAAAGAAATATGTTCTTAAATAACTGTAATAGTATTTAGTATTCTTAAAATATTATCAAGCTAATAATTAATAAAGGAAAGAGCGAGTTTTGGAAAGTGTGGATTTTCAATGTCCACACATACATGCATAACAAAATGTGATTAAATTTTCTAATGATTATTATTATAAAAGAATTATTCACTGAATAAAAGTAGTTCAATCTTTGTTTGATTTGCACTTTTGCAGCAAACAGAAGCGTTAACACAACTACATTCAGATCTGTGCCATTACCTGAGTATATGGTTTTAAAAAACTGAAATAACGTGACTTTTCTCCCATTTTTAAATTTGGACCTTGAAAAAAGTCACATGACAAATGATCAATAACGATAACAAGTGAATAATATAATGTAATTTGATTGGTCGATACAAAAGTCACGTTTTTTATTTGCATGTCCGATCAAATAATACATACAAGTCAGAAATGGACAATATCGATATTTTTTGGCTAAACTACAGATTGGTGGCCTTTTTTGTATTATCTCTGGTATAGTTTTCAAAGATTATCAATTTTATTTCAGTCTTTAAGTGTCATGCACTGTATTATCAGATATATTATTACCACACAACTGAAAACTACACAAGTTATTGTCGCCGCGCTGAAACCTTCTGTCACATAAAAGAATACAGGTGGAAAAATGAATCCTATGGATATTCCAAGACCACAAAGATTATTTCTCTGAACTTTTAAGTTAATATATAAATAAAAGAGTTTAAAATCACCACAAAAAAGTGTTGCTTATATATAACCAGTAGAATACAATCACTTCTTGAGGTTTCATGAGTATATTGTACGAAATTCTAGATACGGAAAAATAACATAACAGAAAAAATCATAATTATTTTTGTTAATTGATACACTTAACTCATCATTCTTTTAATAAAAAATCTCAAGCGTTAAAAAATGCTCAATGAATGATAAAAGAAACTCACTAATATTTCTTATGATCTTAACATAATATAATAAATGTAATATAATAATGTAAGAGTCAGGTGTAATTTTCAATTTCAAATCCTCCAGCTTCATCTTCAATACAACTTTCAATGATAATATAACTAGCAAACAATATAAACCACAAGTCTACACAGAAAAGTAAAAGTGGAATTCTGCTGACTTCCTTTAGTATCCCATAACACACAATGTAGAAATCCATTACACCCTAACCCAAAATAGAACCTATTATAGCTTCGACTACTGTACTTTGCCAAAAGCAAATATAATATCTTACTCCAAATTAATAATTAAAAATGGAACATCAATCTTAACATCGAAACCATTGCAAATAACGAAGGGGTTCAATTAACGATATTTCCCGATAGATCGGTATAAAGAGCTCTCAATGTAACCGAAAGAATACAATCAAATCTGATTCGCCGGGGGCATTCATTTAAAGGTCTTATAAGAGGCCGTATTATTATTTATCGTTATGGTACGAAATTCTAGCTATGGTAAAAAATAACACATACGTATAACAAATGCTGTGTCATGACAGATTTTCTCCGATGATTTTCTGCATAGTGGAAAATGCAGAAATAACAGAATGAGTATTTAAAAACGGAAAATATTTCGAACCACCGAGAATATTACAGAATAATAATAATGCAGTGATTGTTATTCTTTTAAGCAATCTTGTTAATTGAATTCTTTTAAATTAATCGCCAGGGGTAAACGCTCAGAATGGCTTTCTCTTTGTCATTGACCTTTTTCCGAGTTTGCTTTGTGGTTCCATACAATAAATGAGAATATTTTTTCTATATAAAATATTAATAAAGATAATTTATTTTGGGTTTTTGATTAATAAATCTTAATTATTGATATGAAAATAAAATATAGAATTATATCGATATCAAATTTAAATATGATATAGAACAAAAATTACCACTAGATCTTTAAGGAAAGCATTCCTCTGAGATATCTACGCAGAATGATTTGTTTAATTTCACTTCCCAGTCGCTAATCTTGCTTGTTCGTTTGATTTGTGCAGGCGAAGATGAACATATTCTGTTGACGGATATGGAATGCAATGTGTAATTCTCAAATTAGAGATTTTGGAAAGGGTTTTGTAACGCGCAAATGATCTTTCAAGTTAGTATATGACAGTTGAAGAGAATCAAATTGTACTGAAAAATGAAGTCATGGCGATGAGCTAATGGTACACCGGTGATGTCAACTGACGGGTAGACCTTTGAGTCTTCGTCCAAAAGAGGAAGAACAGGACGAGTAGAAGTGAATTTGACGAACAATTACTTCGTCTTCCGAAGCTTGATTAATGTGATAGACATGCAAGACATGTTAATACAAAGAAATGATTAAAATTGAAGATGTCCATGAAAAATACAACACCTGGTACTGGGAAGACACATTTCGCACTGTAGTTTGCTTCTATATAACTCGTCGATATCCGCAATCAAATATAATTTGTGAACAACTTATCAAAGACCCCGATGCTTCATATTCAATAAGATGGAAGTGTATTTCATAGAAAGATTTTCACTTCTGGTTACGACACCAAAAAATAACCGATGGCATGAGTTTGATAAGCTCATTGGTGTTAAGAAGTACTATGGACAAAGAAAAGCAATATACAGAGGGTAGCCAAAAGTCATTTGAACTATATTTTTTTAGCAACTAGTAATTAGAATTTAATGTATAACATTGGCTGTTGTCATTAGTTGATACACTTAATACTGTTTTTAATAAAAAAGTCTCAAGCGTTTAATGATAATATAACATAACATAATAGAATAGAATAGAATAGAATAGAATAGAATAGAATAGAATAGAATAGAATAGAATAGAATAGAATAGAATAGAATAGAA